AGTTGAATCGTTAAATGTACTAATATATCCGCCATAACAGGAGTATCGTATTAACGTCTCGTTCGTTACTGCTCTATCGCCTTGGAAAAAAACGCCGAGGACGTGTGTGTTACAGTCGCGAGAGCGTTTTCTCGCGGGGCTCGGCGTGTTCCTCGTGAAGAAGCGGAGAGCAGCAGAAGCAGCGCGCCCACGCCTCGTCGAAGCCCACGCTACTCTACCAGGACCGTAAGTATCGCGGTTGACCGAGATGTTGCTCTCGCGCGGAATGCCTCTCCGCGACAACGCGCAGAACAATCCGATATTTTATTCCGAACGTCGGCCGATCGCGGAAATGCCGCGTTTGAATGCGCGTACGATCGCGTTCCCCGACGGCTGCGAGAGAAGCTTGTCGCGCACGTCGACGTCGAGATCCGCGGCCGTTTCATTGCCTGCACACGGAACTACGAAGCCAGACTCGTACAAGAGCACGTATACTCTGTGTGTGTGTGTAAGATACAGCGGTATCGGATTCTCTCAGCGATATGTATTTTATCCGTCCGCGGCGGGGATTATTAGATCGTCGACAGAGTTGCTTGATTTCGTTCGTTTGGGGTTAAAAGCGATAAGGATAAAACTCTAGGAAACGATCGATTAAGGTCAGCTCGAGCAGAAAGAGGAAGTGTGGGTGCCTTGTTACGCTTCTGTTTACATTATTTATGCGAAGCTTTAGCAAAATTCTAAATTTGGCAAATGCATAGGGGAAAAAAAATTAATCTTAAATCAATGGTAGATATTCTGACGTATAAGCAAGTATGTTATAATCTTTTTAGAAGATTTTTAGTCAAGATTCGATTGAATTTGTATTGATGCAAGTATTACATGCACTCAATTCAAGACTAAGAATCTTCTATATAATATTATAATATTATAATATTCTTGCTTATATGTGAGAATATCTATCATTGATTTAAGACTATTTTTTTCTATGTAAGATAATTTTATCAAATAAGACTCTAGATAACGATCGATTAAACCAGTTTGTGACGCCGATTTGCATAGAAATAGAAATAAAAATATAGAAATATCTTGTCATACTCCTCTTTACATTACGTAAGACTTCGATAAAATTCCGAACCTGGAAAATTTTAGAGAAACGCCGAGTAAAATTCTAAATAACAATCGACTAATATAAGTTTCCGACGCTGACTTGCGTAGAAATAAAAATGTGGACGTCTTGTTACGCTTCTGTTAATATTCCTCAATTTTACTTAATTATACTTCAATTTAATATTCCTTAATTTTATTTCAAGAATCTTACTTCAGCGAAACTTCGAACCTTGTGTCTGTCGGCACTCGAATTTTTACGCACGAATGCTCAGAATTCGAGGCATTCGGAAACACACGTGCACGTGAGCTCGGAACTTTCGAAATTTGAAACGTTAGAAAGTCAAGAGTTCACGAGCGTTTGTAAGGGCCGCATTTAGAAAGTACGAGTCAACATATTTTTAATGTCGTTGCCAAAGGACAAAGGTACAACGCAGTCAGAAAGAATTAAGCAATAACTTTCGGACCGTCGTTGCGGCAACATCGGGACCAACGCCTGAAAAATCCAGAAGTGAAAGAGAGAGAGAGAAAGAAATCGGCCACACGAATTTTCATTTGTCTTTTCGAAGCAACGCAACGCGACTTTACAAGCGGCGTAAAAGGGCAAGAATACACACGACTCGCTCTCATCTTACAGAAGAAAGGAACGCACGCGCGTTCGGCCGTCACTCTAAGCTGCATCCGGCAAAGCGGCAGTTTTTTGCGCCACGCCGGGTATTGCATCCTTAAGCTCCGCCACTTGTCTTGGAAGTGGTCGTTCTGCCGGCGCGAGATGTTCGCGGCTCTGCAAGCGGAGTTGCACTTCGCGGGCGCAACTAGAAGCGGCCAATCCGGAGTGGAACATGCGAATCTGAAGATTTTCTTGTTCCTTCTCGCGGATCGTACGATTTCAGAGCGTCCGTAGAGCAGTGACAGAAGGTTGATGTTCGTTTTGATGTTCGCCGCCGCTGTTTCGGATTCGGTCTCGCCGCTTCGCGAGAAAACCGACAGCGGCTTCGGAAGAACGCGGAGATTTCTCTCAGGGAAGCTCGGACTTTTTGGAACGATCCACGGAATCACATGAGCTAAACTGTATTTTCCAGCTGGAAAATATTCCGGAGTGAATGAAACCGGAGATGGAATAACCGCGCGACGTGGCGTTATGAATCCGGCGAGCTTTACGCGCCGATTTATTGCAGACGATCAATCCCGGTAACTAATCTCGAGTTTCGCCTCCTCGCGACCTTACGGGAGCTTCGCTCAACGTGCGTAATGTCTCAATTACGCTTTTTATCATTATGAAATAGTGTATATTTTCCACGCGTACTCCGGGACTTTCTAATTAAAGAGAGGCATTGCGCCAGGCGCACACGGCAGCATGTGTGTGTGTGTGTGTGTGTGTGTGTGAGAAAGAGAGAGAGAGAGAGAGATCTTTAACCTTTCATCGTTTACATTTAATCCGGAAAGCAAGAAACCGCAAGGTGCAACGGTCGAGTCTTGAGTGGAAAAAAGAGCGACTTTGGAAGAGAAAGAGATGAATTTAAAAGACGTACATGTGTTGCACGATATCCTCAAGCAAAGTTGGCAATATTCCAAATTTTTTTGATAAAATTCATAAGCAAAATCCGGTAAAATCCGATATTTTCTGAAAAACCCAATAAAAAGAGTGGTCTTTCCTATTTTTAATTCTGTCACTATTGTTTTTCTCATTAAACTAATCGAAAATTTGATAATATCTATATTTCCCAAGTTCTTGTTTTAAAAATATAATTCCTATATCAATTTGAATTAAAAAAGATTTTATTGTTATACTGATTCTATTTTTCTTTAAATCACTGCAATATGATTTACTAATCATAAAGCAAATATATATATTAATCTTTCTTACAGTTTTTGCCAATTTATTCTATTCAATAAAATTCGGGAATAATAAAAATCGAAATTTATCATAGTTTTTTTTTTCACCTACTAGAATTTTCCAGCGAACTCTGCATTAAAGTATAGCCGATAGAAATGATTTTTCCCGAGAGAGAAATATTTCTCTTTCCAGAATTGCCAAATGCCTCCATTTTATCTCCATCATAATTAACGGCGGAAATGTCACCCTAATTTTATAAAGAGGCAGGATCCCTGTCCTTCACACGCCCCTCGACGTTTAATGGTTTCTCTTCCCATGCCACAGAGCTTACCTCTTTTCTCGAGTAGTAGTATACTTTCTACACTTATCTATACCTTTATTTTTTCCTTCCTTATGACGTTTCTAAAGCGCGAACGTCAACCACGCTAGCTGCGCGCGAGACGGTAATAAAAGCGTGGCTGTGAAGGGATCCTTCGCCGTGTCTGTGCGCGCAAAACGCGGGAGTTCCGCGCGATTGCGCTTCGTTTCTTGGCTCTCAAATGGTTAAACGTGCCGAGAAAGGCGATCGCATTATTAGGCGCAATGAAGGCGCGCGACGAGCTCCGAGACGCGCATTAATTCGGGTCGCTCGTTTCGAACGCATACGCACTTTTATTCGCGACGGCGATGACCTCGTGTCGGATCAAAATGCGGGATCGATGCAAGTGTGAAGATGACAATCCAATGCATTTTATTAATTCGATTTGTAACTTTAGCGCAACGACAATAAATATTGGCGAGATTCGGCTACTTATTAATCCATTAACGGCCAGTATTTCATTTAAGAGACATTCTCTTTGCATAAGGTAAAATGACATTTAAACGCCATTAATCACAATTTTAAGATTTCACTTAAATGTTGCACAAAATAGAAAATGCATTTTTCACTAAGTTTCTCCGTATTTTATTGGATCGTTCCCGTTAATAATGATCAAGGAATATGGTTTCGTCGCACCTTCATGGCTGTATCAAAAGTGAGTTTATTTGAGAATTTTAAACCGTTATCTTCGACAAGATAGTTATGGTCGACGAAGGTCATCTCCGCGATCGACATGAGTAGTACAGGCGTTTGTAAACACGCAACTAACGTATTCGACGTCCAAATTCCCCCTGCTTATCCAACTAGCGAGATAATCCGCGATGGGACGGAGATCGCTAACGCGAATCAATGAACGTAAATTGGTGTAACTGACCTTCAAAGTTCGTATCAACGAGAGATCTCGTCGCGCGCATCTGCAGCCTATTTCGATCTCGTATTCCGCGAACGCGAACGACATTTTTCAGTGCAAGAAAATTCCTGACCGTTGCCGCGCAATGCGAAAGAGCGCGAAATACGAATTTTTGAGGTTATGGGGGAGCAACGATCTTTCCGAACTCACGTTGGTCACGTTAGACGGGAGAGAAAAACGTGGGATCTTCACTCACCGAAGAAGTCCTCCCAGCTAACCGAGCCGTCGGAGTCCACTGCGCTGGCGTTTGCAGCTTCCGCGTCCGCCTCGCTGCCCATCGCGACGTCGTCCACTGCAAGTCTCGACGCGCGTCCCACGTATGGCGCTCCCCGTTCGGACAACCAGCGGCAGCGGTAATAATCCCTCGCTGCTCGTTACGTTCCCGTGGTAACGCGCATCGGTCATCTCACGTCACATCGCGCGGCGTCCCACCGGCCCGTGTCGAGTGAACATGCGCCGACTGCAGCTGACATCTCCTCGGAACTTCGAAACTCGTCGGCGGGTGAACGTTCTCGTGAGCGAGAAGGAGAGAGAGAGAGAGAAACGGACACACGCGGCACACACGGCACGACTGCCGGACGAGACGCGACTGAGAAACACCACCTCCGGGGACCGATCGCGCGCCGGACGCGGCGTACCGAAATTCACCGAGGGTGAACGATCCCGGACGGATGGACGGAGTTTCCACCACCCAGAGCGGCGCGTTCGCAGGACGAGGCACGACTGACGCGGTCGGCGCGCGCGCGCGACGTCCGCCGAAACTTGCCGAGGGTGAACGAACGCAGGCCAGCCGCGCGAACGAAACGAGGGTGAGCGCCGAGCCACCGAAAAGCTCCAATTGTTGATCAACAACGGACGCGACTAAGCTCAAGCAAATAGGATTTCACGCGTTTTAGCAGCGGAGAATATCGCCGACCGACAGCTCACCGCGAATTACCCGGCGTGAGGACAGTGCAGCTTCCGATACATTATACCGTTCGTATATACTTATTTTGGCTGCGATTTTCTGCGTTGTATCGTTATCCGTGTTGGACCTCGCGTCTAAATAACGTTCAGAATTTTCAAATTTTTCTGGAAAAACTCAGCAGTTGGTATCTCGAAATTGTCCGAAGTCTCTGAAGTTGGCTAGAAAAATGGTTCGATTCGTGAAGTCAGGCGAGACGCAACAAACGGACGCTCTATTTTCCTGCTTATGATAAATGCTCGAATTCTCCTTTATGCGCGAATCAAAGATTGACCGTTTGAAATTTCAGACGTTGCGAATCGGACAATTTCCTTTGAACTGTTCGATCATGCGACATCGTTCGAGTTTTTGGCGCAAATTCCGATTAAAAGCGAAACCGACACACTCGTTACGAAACGAGAAAATAGTCAATTTCAGTAAGCAAGAAACATTAAATCAATTTTTCGAAACATTGATTTTATGTGGATTTTATAAACATTTTGGCATAATATTTTATAAATCTTTTCAGACTATTATTTGATAATATTTCTAAATATTAAAGTTATAGTGTAAAAATATTTTTAATGTTTGGATTAAATATTGTTAACAATAGAGTATTAAGAATTACATATTTGAAAACGCTGCATGTTATAAAATACCACTGCAATAGCATTGTATTAATGATTCTTTGCTTACTGGGGAGTTCCTACTTAGACCATGTAAATCAGCTTATTTCTGTCCGTTTTCATTGCAAATGTTGGTTAGATTGAATTAATCTTTCAGCACTCTCGTTCTTTCATTGCATCACTTCACTCGCCAGCATTTACTTCAATAGTTATATTGCATGTCCGAGGGGATTCCCAGGATTGAATAAGCGAACAGTAACATGACATCGATGTTATAATTTCCCATTCAACAATATAGCTGTTACATAACGCATGCATTATATTGCATTTACATTGTTGAAATGCATGAATTTCCATTGAATCGAATTGTTTGTATGAATGCTGTACTCATTGTTGAAATGCATAACTTTACATTGAATTTACATCGAATGTGCATTGGGAAATTAAATATCATTGATGTTATGTTGCTGTTAGTTGATGTTTGCCGGGTATCTATTTACCTCTCTATCCGTTCATTCTAGTTGTATTTTCGCGCATCTGAGACGGAATAATGGCGTGCGTACTTATGACGGACAGAAGAACGAAGCGTGCAGAAAGTGCAACCACGACATGCCTATCGATTATCGATGAACAATCGCAATTTTTGCTGGTTCTTACGGGTCGGTGCAACGTGAGACGGCTGAAACGAACGGATAGACGAACGAACTTTGCACCGGCGAGTCGGCGACGACCGGCTGAATGCGCCGACTGTCCTCCGGCCTCCATTCCGGCGAGAGCATCGGCAATATGAATCGAGTTCGGCGACAAGCAGCAGCCGGGCCGCTCGGAGAGATCCAACGACGAAGTGAAGCGACAGCTAGGGTTAGTTGTTACGTCGATACGAAACGCCGACACAGACCATCTTCTCGGTGAGTTTACACTAATATGAAATTTATAAAGTTTGACGGAAACACAAGCTCCGAACGAACAGCTCAGCTCGTGAGCCGATTCGACTAGCACTGTCAATTTCGACTTCTCGAATTAGCAACTGAGTATGCGGCTAATTTCAGACGTTACAAATTATTGATTTCTCTAACGATAACTGATAATAATAACGTCCGAAGTTAGCCGTATATTCGGCTACTGAGAGACTCGAGTACTTGAAAAATTGACAGCACTTGATCGACAAGCCGTTTTTTAAATGTATGCACGGGATATTGATACGGTTCTTAACTAGTATCGAAGGTATCCCTGTTGGGAATTTCTAATGGATTCCTGTGAAAATTCAAGGGAAAATTCATGTGAATCCATATAGAATATTCAAAATCCGTATAGAAATCAACATGTGGTCTGTTCTTTTCTGTGTACGTACGATATTTTCATATGCATTTCTTGAATTAGTGCAGCCAGTTCAAAAACTGAAAGGAACAGACCAATGGTGTGTGAAACCCACATAGGAATCCACACGGATCGTTACCTAGGATCTGGATTTTGCCCAAAATCCCCGAGAGCAACGATGGCTTCCCACTTGGTTTTTTCAACAGTTTGGCGAGCGATTATCGATTTCGAAAAGACGCGAGACTCGAGTAACGCTCGTCGTCTTTTTTATATCGCGTAAAATTTGTAAGGCTTTAAAAAGTGTCCAAGTTTTCATCGGGATCTCGCCGTGAGCTGTCAGATCGTACGTCGAGTAACGTGTCCGAGTCGTTTCTACGTGAAAGCGGAAATTCGAGACGCATTGCGTAGAATATTTACGAGTTAGGGCGAAACACGGAGCAAAAGATCCTCTACCGAATATTGCCCAACCGGCCCGCCGTGTGAAAGTCGCTGTACATTCTTTCGAAACCCCCACGCACGCTCGCGTTTATTTTTCGGAGGAGCGTGGAATACACGCGTGCATGTATGTATATTAGGGGCCGCTACGCACTCACTCACGCACGCACGCACGCACGATACGTCGACGGAATCGCCGTTCTATTATTAGACCGCCGCGGCCCGTCTCGTTGCATCCGACGGCGGAATGAATGGAGAATGTAACCCTCTGAATATTAGGACGTCGTTCGCCGAACCTTCTCGAACGAAACAGTCTCTCGCTCGCCGGAAAGTGCGGATCCGCACGACGAGAGAGACTTCCTTCCTTTCTCCTTGGAGAATTTTTTGGAAATAGAATTTTCTCGCGGCCGATGCGATTACATCTTTTCTCTCATGGCTGCTCTCGATATACCATATCGTGCATACGTATGGCGATATAAAAGTCAAGGGAACCATCATTCGGCGTTGATGTATACGTTGCCTTTTATTTCGCATCGTAATATGCTCATAAACAATATATACTGAACAGTAAATATCGCTCTAAGGAAATGCAGACGCGAATACAGTCTACGACAAATTTGTTTACATACATTTTCTTCTTGCGTTATCTATGCCTATAGTTAAACGTACCGGCTAAATTTATGTCGTCGCGTCTTATGAAACAATAGTGTAGCTTACGATCGCGTCGCAATCTCTAGCAATACTTAGGAAAGCGCAATCCCCCTCGCGCCGTACCGTTAGTTATTACAATTACGACATCTGTCTTATTGCCGAGCGAGATATCGATTTGTACAAAGTAATCTAACGACAAAATTTGGCCGTTACTTCTTCACGGGAGAATAGAGATTTTTTTTTTCCTTTCCTTTTCGCGAAGAGTTCAACTTATGTTTTATCACAAGTATCCCTCGTGCGAAATTGAGCGGAACAAAACGGTTTATTGGATATTGCGGGACAATCGATATACCTATCACGTCCGCGTTTAAGTATAAATGTAAGAAGTTTCGCATAGAAATACAATATAAATATATAGATGACGATTCGGGGAACAATGATTCGTTTCGAGTTTTCGTGGCACAGGTACTAGACAACTCAGGGTGACATAAATAAATTACACAATGGTATTTTTCTTTCGTAGAAAAAAAAAAGATTCTAACGCAGAACTGTAAATCTATAATCACGATCACGAACATATTAACAATGATTGAACGTCAATTAATAATGTTCTATCTATCTAAAATTATCATAAATAAAAGCGCATGATGATACTGCAATGATATACCGTAAAACCGTAATGACATTCTCAATATACATAGAGTAAGCTCGGGAATTACGTTATCGAGTTCTTTATGCATATGGTGTGTATAAAACAGTGAAACCTGATTACATGTGAATGTTACGTTAAGTGAAGATGAATCTTATCCTCCTGCAAACAAAAAGTACCGATTTTAAGTGTCATGACGAAGGTAAACTAAACGTCGAAGTAAACTAAACACACGTTCACGTCTACGTTTTGCTTACAATTATATATGTGTATAAAGTATATATATATATATATCTCGTACTGCTATAAAAGTATATAACGTATCCTCGTGGATCCTTGTATCCTCATAGATAAGTATACAAATCAGCGACATAGAAATGAAAAAACGTATTTACATATTGGCCTTATTAAGAACAAAAGCATATACTTAGATGATGAACACCTGCGCTATCTCCTCTTATCAATTTCGCATGAAATGTTAATCGAGTCAGACATCTGCGCAATTTCTTCTTAATATCTTATAAATCTTGAGCAGCTAAGTAGAGCGGAGAAAGATACAGCCGTTATGGAAAAATAAGATTTTACAAGAAGCATAATATAATATATTCAAGCGTCACGTGTGTCCCTTTCGTTTAACATTTCTTTACGATATTGCACAATAATTCTAAATTAAAATCTCGCTAAAGAAGGCATACACCTCTATCTGCATAATTTTTTTTTCACATGGTTATCTCTTTGTTACTTACGTAAATAAGTTGTAAATTAATCTTTGTTTTATCCAAATACTTTATATTATTATTTTGGAACACGATTTTTTTTTGAACACGATCAAATCTAGCGATTGCAAAGTACAACTGTTACAGTGTCGATTTTAACGAGCTGGATTAAAGATGAATGTATCAGATGTAAGATTTAATTTCGGATGTACAACGTGAATTTACAAATGTCCAATAAAATGTAACACGATTTTACTATTTAACCTGCTGGACACCCAGTGCACATGTAACAAAGCACGTTCAACATAGAATTGATATAAGAATCGCTCGGAGCTCTTTAGCGCGTTACGTACTGATTATTTTGTCTGATTTATTAAAGTGATCTCACATTGTGTGTTAAAGTTACATAAATTCGAATTAATAACGAAATTGTAAAGTTCATGATCTTGGTTCGGCACCTATCAATATTTGAGTTTTCCTATACGAATATTATTAATTCTATTGGATCTCTGCGGATTCGTGAGAGGAAGTCGTTTAACATTATTCGCTAGTATTATTATTAGTTTGTTCGCTATACAACTATTTAGAAATCTTATATTATGCCTATCGCACAAAGTTATCGAAGAACAAAACATTGATGAAGCAGTCTTAAATAAATTGGCGCGATGTGTCATCGTCGATGGATGTGAAATTTTGTCCAAATAATACTTTATTATATATTCCCTAGTCGCGCGCAGCGAAATGAGGGAGAGAGAGAATGCCGATGGTATCAGTGTCAGAGAAACAGTCTCCGTAATACTAGTCGGACCGATTTAGGAAGACGGCCCTTTTCTTCTTTTATGCGTTACCGTACTGTCAATAGGATTCTCTTGCATCCGTTTACGTTGCTCTTGAGTTCCGAGTCCTAATATGTAAACATATAGAATATGAAATTAATAATTTAACTTCGTCGATATAAAAGGTAAATTGAGAAATGGCACGACCGTGACATCATATGTGCGGAAACATGACATTAATTCAGAATGTAAAATATTGCCTTATAACATTTCGGGAGAAAATGTCGAATTTTTGGAAAATCGCGAAACTATGGCATGTCATAGACTAAAAATTCGGTGCGACACAATGATCGAGCCATTTTGTCTTTTCATGCGCAACACAAACTTACGTTTTAATTTCGCCACACGAGAACGTGTTACACGTAATGTACTGCTTTCCGAGTTGGATTCGGAAACGAATAAATCGGTACTCTTTTTCCTCAGTCGCGCGATCTCCTCCATCGCCGGTGTCATCCATTTTGCTTTGAGTTCGTTACTGTGGTTCGGGGAAAAAAAAACAATCGAGTATTAAAAGAAATGAAAATAGCACTTATTACGCTTAGGTTCATCATTTATCGATAAAAGAGAGTTCAGAATATGGGCCTTGGTAGTATATTCATGCCCGTGTAGCATGCTCGAATGAATCGATAAATTTGAATACTAACTCCGACGATTTTGGTAATGATTTGCTATGCCTGAACGTGCCGGATTGCTTTTCCTTCATTCTACGAATCACGTCCAGCATCGCGTACGTTGGCAACGACGGTGGTCGCGGTGACGGGGGCGGTGTGAGAGGCGAAGGTGGCGATTGAGTGTTAATTTTCGCGAATTTGTCCGGATGCAACGCCAATACTGCCTCCCATGAGAATTCTTTCCTCTGAGTTGGACGCTTAGGCTGCGTGTTTCGCGTTATTCGTATCTAGGATAGATACCATTGTAATAAGACACTTGAATTATAGATTATAAAAGACACAAGAATTATAGATTATAAAAACAGGTTTGAAGATTACGTCGAGTTACTTAGAGTTAAATTTTACCTCGCCATTCACAGGCCTACAAGGTTTTCTCTCCCTCAGATATGGGCGCTCGAAAAATGTGGAGCACGTAAGATTTTCATTGGATTCTTTCATATAATAAAGATATGAAGGTATATTGCCGTCCTGACTGCCGCCGTATATAAACAAGTTCCGTAAATAGGTGTAATTGGGTTTAGTCTCGAATTCTAGCTCGGTGATATACTTCATATACTCCAAGATCGCGGCTGTAAGAAACGAAAAGTTAAAATTGGGATTAAAGAATATAATAAATTAGGTTCTTAGATTGTGAAAATAAAAAAATACAAATATGTAGACCTCTGAGAGCCAAACATTGGAACTAGAAAAGCACGAATTTCAACGCTTGGCTCTTTTAGACTCTACGTATTTGCATTTTTTTATTAATATAAAGATCAGATCTTATTTTATATGCCTGTATATAATCAGCATGCGCATTACAAGCATATGAATGAGAGGAAATACAGGCCTAAAGGCTAACGCAAGAAGAAATTATCTTATTTTGCGCTTTTTCTAATATTGATTCGGCAAAAAAATCTTTTTCCGTTTTTTCCTGTGTAAAACTGGTTATCTTTTATGAAAGAAGGTGAAAGATCATAGACATAATAATAGCGATTATCTGCTTGATGAATAATTTCTTTTCAGTCAACGTGGTCCAAAGTCAAATTTGAATTTCAAAATGAAATCGAATTATCTGACCGATTCTATATTTGACGAAAAATTTACAAACCCGGCGGTTTTTTCTTGTCAGGGAAGCATTTGTCCATAAACAACGATAAGTCTGACAGAAGAACTTCCTTTTGTGCGTGAACTTCTTCTGGATCTAGTAAACCCATCTCGTCACTATTCTTCTCCCACGGCAGCTTTCCGCACAACCATTGTATAATATTATATCCTAAAGTTTCTAGATCTCCTCTTCTTGAATGTGCTGAAAAGTATTCCCATTGATGAGAAAAAATTAATACCGTGCGTAGACGCGCGAGATTTTTTTTTTTTTTTGAAAATAATCGGCATACTTCCATGATGGGCGTCCCGCGATGTGTATTCTAAAGTGCCTTCGTGAGCTCTTCTCTCGTCGTGCACGAACGATTTATGCTGACCAGTTCCTGTGCGAAAACGATACGCCAGTCCATAATCCACCAAGTACGCTTCGGACTTTTCCCTCCCGATTCCGTCTCCGTACGTGCCTGCTAACAGGATATTTGGTCCCTTTATATCCGCATGAGCATATCCCTTACTATGAATATACTCCAGCGCGTCCAACTGCAAGAAAGATCGTAATTTCGGCATGTCATATCACCATCGCCATCAACTGTGAGATCCAGAACGCATATCGCACGATTTAGATTTTACCATTTGTACAGCTAATGTGTTGACGAGTTTCGTTGGCAACTTTCTCCTGTGCGATAGAAATAACTTTCCGATGTCTATACCATATCGCGGTATTATCAGAAACCTGTATCGTTGACCTCTATAAACGTGAGATCCCGATCCTTCGTACGTAGGAACACCGATCCTTCTTTTGCCTTGAGACTTACACCAACTTTCGACTGTATAGATATCAAAAAGTTAAAGATATGTTTATGTACATTCTTTGTATATTTATTTTCTCCTATTTTTTTCTTTATCTCCTTCTGTGTAAAATATTGAAAGTTATATTTACTCATGTGCCTGCGTGCTGCCCTTATGTAGAAATTCATTTCAACGAATAGTGGCCCATTATTATGCGGTTCAATTTTCACAACATATTTCGCATCTTCCCCAACAGGCGATGTAATATCATTGGAAGCTGCAAATTAAAAGATATTGTTACAATTCAGAATAGTTATATCGAGGGTTTACAAGTGCAATCGAGTCATATGTATGAACATTTACCTAGGTATATGTCTCCGAAACCACCATATCCAATCGTATTCCCTAATTTCCACTTATTTTGTGTAATATCTATCAAAATTTCTCCTGCTGGCAATTGTGCCGGTAATTTGCAGCCTGCGGCTGCTACCCTTTTCACAGGCACGTCTTCTACACGCCTTGGTGGCATTTTATCACTATCATACACAATATATTTTTACTTTCTCTTTTCCTCTTTTCGCGCAAATAATATATTATATTTTAGGCCGAAAATCACATGGGAGATTTGCAATGTAGAATTTGTTTTCTGTACTGTCAAAATGATATCATAAGTGTTTGTTTTAAGATTTAACGTGAAAATGTAATACTAATATACTGATTCAACTCATATAATTTCTTAGATTATGAGAGTTTATAAGAATATATTGTACAAATTAATCATGTAAATTACAATAATCTATCATTAATTTTTTAAAAGGTTAATGTATCTTTCTCAACGTGTCCTTATTTGTGTATTAATTATACAAATGTATCTTCATATTTAAAAACCACATATAAATATTCCTGGCATATTACTTTCTTTACAATTGTTACAGGTAAATTATTACAACATTGAAGATGTTTATATATATACACTTACATTTAAGAATAAAAGACAGATGTTTCCTCTGTAATCCTAGACGACATGAAAAAGCATATTGGTTAAGACAAATATGTGTGCAATTTTTTAAATGCAAGTTTATAATAAGCAAAGCACATTTATCATTCTTTATATTTTTAATAGAGTGCAAAAGTTAAAGCATTAGAAAAATGTATTTATTTTATACTATTCATACATATGTATAGTTTAAATTATTAAAACATTCTATCAATTAATCAACAATGATCGATTAATTAAGGAATGATTAGAAATAATTGTAACAAACAATAATATCATATCGACAATATGATTCTTACAAATTCTAAGAGCATTTGTATCAGTATCGTACAAATTTTCTATATTAAATATAGCCTATGACTATAAATATACTCACATGATGTGTATGTATTTTTAAGGAACAATTTTTATCAGCTTATTACTTAACGAAAGGAACACGTATCCTGCATCCTAGTGTACCTTGAGCACTCACAGTGAAATTGAGATTCACAGTTTAGTTGGCTATCGAGAACATTCTAAGTGTTAGCTACGAATTTGCAAACGAGAAAGGGACAATGTAAATATAAATATACATATGTATAAAATATAAATATTTGTGTGTATTTTGATATTTGTGTGTGCATATGTATATACACACACACATACACACACGCGCGCGCACTACCGTTTTCAAGATAATTTCATGTATTGCTTGCGACGATCAGCCGGCGATTTGCTTCTTATACTTGCTCTTTGTATTTCGCAATGAAAAGTAAGAGATCGCCGGTATAGAAACGAGAAAAACTGATAAGCAATCAATTCTTTGAGCCCGCATAAAACCAAGTATCGTAGTTTGATACTAAACCAATTAGGACAGAGCGAGTGAAAAATTCAGTTTATTCAATTGATCGGCTACTGATCTGCAATTCGCAATTTTTCACGCGTGGTCTGATACGTTTTTCACGGGACAACGGTTTCGGCACAGTACGGTCGTGTTGTGTATATGTTAATGGAAGCAACGTCTCGTCGACGTTGACGTTACTATGTGTGTCGGCCCTTCGTCGTCGTCGCGCCCGTACAATGCTGAGCAATTTGAACGGGAAGCACACTTTTGAACGTCGTACATGCGTGTCAATGCCCGCAACAGTTCGTCGTCGTAGACGCCGACGTAGGACCGACGCTTGTCGAGTCGCCGCAACCCACGCTCCGTCGAAGTATTCACCTCTGCCCGAGTCGGATACGCACTGCCTCAACTGCCATTACGCGAACGGAAGCGCCGATCAGCTGAAACCATAGACCTGAGAATACGGCAGAACAGTAGCCGTGCAACGTTCGGACTGGACGGGGAAACGCCATGATTCAGTGAGGGCCGAATGAGCCAATCCGCATCGCCTCGGCTCGACTTGGACAACTCGGCTTATCCGTCATTGGCTGCCTTTCAGTCTCGATTTATACTCGATTTCACCATTAGTGACATTAATCTAGGTTTAGGTAAACATCGGTTAAAGTGAACGTTAGGTTTTAAACTCGGTTTAAATGGAATCTCGTTCCACCACTTCTCGAGAAGCGTCATTTAAATAAATTTTTATCACCGACGAGGTAATATTAAAGACGCTCAAGACCTTCGGACTCTGGATAAATCTTCGCACAAATTTCATTGGGACCCTAAGAAACCCGTGGGGTCCGGAGATATTTAACATTATTAACTATTTTTAGTCACTTAATGTAAATATCTGATTTAGGTTATAAGTATTCATTTTATAATTTACGGTTACCTCGATATTTTATCGATATACACATAGACTTAGAATGAAATATATTTTATTCCATACGATCAAATTTTAGTCACCAATTATTCATTGATCATGGCTGTAAATTTCTTAAATTTATAAATTTGTTGAATTTATAAACTTTGAAAAGAGGGAGTGCAAAGAAAGAGAGAGAAAGAGAGAGATAACCTATTATAAACTATGGTTAGTTAAATATCACTAGAGTTTCAAATTTAAACCGAGTTGGTGAAATGGGACATTAGTCTGTATCAGTGTCGCCAACTCAGTAAGAATCCTACTAAGTTTAGTAGTTTTTGATAAACGATTGTAGAAAAATTATTTGGACTGTAGTACATAAAAAATCTAGTAGTTTTTTATCTTTGTAATCGTAGGAAGACGAAAAATACCCTACCATTCGATTAAATAAAGCGAAAAGCACAGATTTTGGGATAAAACCTAACATATAACCATAACATAAGGCATAAAGAAATGAGCCAATGAGAATTTATCATTTTTATCACTAGGATGGAAATAAAGCATTCTGATTGGTTCATTCTCTGAATCATTTACTAACTACTCACCTATAAAATTTGTTTCATCTGAAATATCTTCATTAGCGTATAAAAAGCGCACATATAATTATCCTAAGATACTATTTTGGACACATCTAGCGACAACTATTGGCTAGGGAATGTGTCGTTGCGCAGGTATAACATATGACAGAAAAGCTGCGCAACGACACTTAAGCCTGGTCTACTTATCTCATCGATTGACGACGCTGGTCTGGATTCAATAAGTGTAATAAACTTTAAGCTGTAAGAAACTGACCAATTATAATCGAATATGAGAAGAATAATTGATTGTGATTGGTCACTATTCTAATTCTGATCTTAGGGACTTTCGACTCGAACGTCACCGTGTTTAGATATTCGTGAGTCATGGCCATTGGTGAAAAAATTGTGAAATATTTCCGATCCTCGCGCATGGTCATCTAGTTCATGATTCATCTCAGCCCAGCACCATTCGCGGCGCCATAGTTGGGCGAAGTAGAGGTGATGTTTCAACTGTAAAATCGAGGTGAAATTTGTATTGTGATCCGAGCGATAGTTATAGCCGAGCCGACGAAATTTTTATCGGAGTAACGTGCGGATTTCTGTCGCAATAGGTCAAAATGGATTGATTACGAGCCCGTTGTGTGAGTATTGTTTCAACGGTTCGTCTCGGCGTTCGTTTAGTGGTTAGAATCCTTTCGCATCGACGTATCGCTCTCTTTCCCTCTCTCATTCCGCTCTCCCTATCTGTTCTCTGTCTTCCTCTCTTTCTCCCTCTCTCTCTTTGAGTGTTACGAATGTATTAGTGGCCGAAGCATTTTACTTTCACGTCGCGGCCATAATCGCAATTATTACCAATTTCTTTCGCGAGAACTTGCCGCGTATGTTTGCAAAAAAAAGGCATTCAGTTTGTGAAATTCGATTTTACTAAACACTGACAGATCACGAATGTTGCTTCACGTGCTGTATCTAATAGAATGTAATTGTTGCTGGATATATATAAAATTCGTTATTTGAAGTTTTCTCGCGTTCTATTAATCCACATATTTTTTATCATAATCTTATCATACTGCACATATTGCGTATTTTCAGATTTGTATTTTTTATTTCTCTTATGTTGTTAGATGCTGCCACTTGCACAAACATTTGCAATAAATGTGATTTAAGATAAAGTTGATTTTATCTTATGTTACTTATGTTTGTGTTTTATTTAAAATTTGTGTGACTTTTTGTTGCAGAATATCTATTGCTGTAGTATCAATTCATCATAACTATGTCTTATCCTGGCCAGCCACCTATGGGTATTCCAGGAATGCCTCCGATGCCGTACATGGTTGGTGCACCTCCCCCGATTATAGGGGGAGTGATGCCTATGGCACATGTGAGTAAACTTGTCATATTAAAGCATGACAATTGTATTTTGATACCGATAGATTGTTTTTTTAAACACACTATCTTCATTTATACGCTAACTAAATGGCAAATTTGTATATAACAATTCTTGCTTTTGTTGCTGTTATGAAATTAGTTTTCGAATTGTTGCTTACAAAATAGAGACGTAATTTCATGTACAATAGGAGCACAGTATGTTGATTGATGCATATCAATATTTTGTATTATTCTTATTGTATTATAAAGCACACACATGTACAATTTACATAGAATGTGTTTACAATGTGTCATTCTTTTAATCAACATAGAATGTGTTATAATGTATTACTCTGTCTTATTTACAAATTAAAAGTATATGTCTGTACCCTGTTTTCTTGAATTTTCTCTTGGAAACTTTGCATTTCATTTTATACCGTGTTATATATTCTACAGTGATGTATTATACATTCTGGTAATATGAGTGATGTGCCATAAATTTGTTTGAAATGTACGTAAGAAGAAACATTTGGTTAATTGATTTTACACTTGGTTTGATTTTTCGATAAGATTACAACACAACTGTCTCTCGCACATCTTCCATCCTCACTTGATGCATGAAAATGTACGCACGTGCAAGAAGAAAAAGCGGAGTGACAAAAAAAAAAGCCATCATTTATTCTGTAGCAATGCTTAAATAGACTGCTAAACTAAGAATGAATTAATCGCGCTATTAGAGAGGGAGGGTAAATGCGGAGTGCATGAGTAGATATGTGCATAATTAAGAATCCTACCATTTATAAAACATAGATGATTCCAACACCCGTATCTGCGATGCAGACATCCGCGCCGGCTGTGCGTTATTCGCGCAATCAGAATCGCCACGATAATAACCGGCGGCGTGAAAGGGAGCCCGGCCCGCCCGTCACCGTGTTCGTTGGTAATATAATGGACAGAGCTCCTGACGTGATGATGCGTCACATTCTGGGCGCCTGTGGACACGTGCTCTCGTGGAAGCGTGTGCAGGCGTTCGGGTTCTGCGAATTCGCGGGGCCCGACGCGGGCCTCAGGGCGGTGCGACTACTGCACGACATGGAGATCGGCACGAAGAAGCTTCTCGTCAAGGTGGACGCTAAAACTAAGGTAGTCCTGGACCAATTCAAAGGTAGGGGAGTCTTCGGTAGAAGCGAAATCATGAATTAGGACGGGACTGATTAAGCGCGCTTCATTTCGCAGCTGAACGAAGGAAGAAACTGAGAGGCGGTCAGTCGCCATTGCAAGACGAAACGTCCGCTGAGGGAGCCGATGGCGAGGAGGGTGAAGACTACATGGACGAAGGTATGAGGGTGGTCGACGCTGATGCGCTCACTCGTATCAATCAGATCATCGCGGAGCATGCCATAGACTTAGAAATGGCACAGGTTGCTCCAGGTAATTATTTGTGTGATTTTTCACCCTTTCGTATCGTTACACACGTCATGTCATAATCATGAGATCTTCCCAGGTAACCATTTGCAAAAGCAGATTTCGTGCAGTGTCTGCTGCAGACTCTGTAAGCAGCTTGCTGGTAGAAATATAAAAGGATCTGATGACAGAATATGGTAGCAAATTGACAGCAGAAGTTAAGCGGAATCTGTCGTTCCGACAGATGTATTTAAATGAAACATATTGCAGATCGTTTTCTGCTGTCAATCTGCTATCAGATTCTTAGTCAGCAGTCTCTGTCAATAGAACAACGGTAGATCGTGAACACAGATGTCTGTGGATCTGTAAATAGATCATGCTCGATCTGTCGCCAATCTGTCGTCAGGCTGCTAACAGATTGCTTACTGGGTTATTACACAGCAATGTTAATCAGATTTAATAACAACCGTAATTAGTGAGCTCTTTCATTTAATTGGAATATATTTTTAGATCTAAAAGAATATACTAATCGGATGTATAAAAGCTCATTAACTACGGTTGTTACTAAAGCGGATTAACGTTGCCGTGCAATAAGACTCATGTATACATTGACAATGCGCGTGCATGATACATAATAAAAGTGTTATTTGTTGCAGAGGAACACCAGACAAAAATAGTAGCTAAGTCCTTAAACTTGGACGACACGGAGATAGAAGAAAGTAAAAGAGACTTGATTACCCGGGAGATCGGCAAATTCAGAGAAGTTATGAAGGTAATTATTATCGTGAACATTTTAACATCTCTTTCTTTCTTTGAGTCCTGTTTTTCTTCTTTTTCTCCGATCGTTCGAAAAGAAGCTCATTGCGTAGATACAACGAAAAATTGAATACTTATCATCCTTAAAAAAGTATATGCTAAAAAAGCACCTCATAAATTTATTTTGACACTAATCACATGATTGATATTGCTCACGTGTAAAATTTGGTCTACGAAGCATTATAAACATATCTCTTTTTAATTCAACGATTCTCATTACTGGCAGATAATGGAATTTCAACGGAATATAATATCGAATTTTAGATATAGCAAGATTGGACAAACAGTACGGTTCAATTAAGCTATTAATATATTAGCGTTAATGATAAAATTTTACCGTTCGCTCAAGGTAATGTGTAATTGTATCTTCTCTGAGTATTTGAGTCATTTTTTTGCTTGAATCTTTCTCTCTCTCTCTCTCTCCTTTTTTTTCTTTTTTTGTTATCTCGGTATTGTAAAATTAGTATTGTAAAATTAGTATTGTAAAATTAGGAACATGTTTCCAGTTTTCTTTATTTTCAATATGTGCCACTACAGGTATATGTTTGTAATACTTTGTACTCTGTTTTACCATTTTTGTTGTTTTCACGACACTTTCATGTGTGTATCAACTCATTCATTAGTTTAAAAAGTTTAAATATGTTAACGGCGCCGATCGGATATCGTTTGTGTATTCAAAATTACCACAGCACTTTGAAACGTTGTTACATTACGTTTTGTCAACTTGTACGAAATTAGAGGTATGCATCGGCATAACACAACGACGTAAATCTGTGAGCTCGTGCTATACACGGAAAGAAAATCTTTCAATGCTTATCGATAAATTGCTGCTAGTATCTATCTACTTCGCAGAGATATTACGATTGGACGCGATTTCACGCGTCATGCTTAAATGATCTGAATGGCAGGCTGACTCTTTTGCAACGTGTAAATCGCAAGTGTCCAATCGCATACACTTCTTATCGCAAACTATTGTTAATTAGACCTTCTGTCTCTTCCCCTTTCCCCCCCCCCCCCGTCTCTCTTTCTATCTATCTATCAACCTATCAATCGATCGATCAATCAATCAATCAATCAATCAATCAATCAATCAATCTTTATTTCTTTCTCTTTCTCTCTCTTTCTCACACTTTCTCTCTGTACACTTAAAGTGTAAAAGAATGTATCTGTATGTACAAGAGAGGATTATGAATATCTCGTAACGAAAGCCGTAGCTCTTAAGTATTTTGTGGTAAAGTGCGTGTGTGCTATGTTAGCTCTGAACAATTGGAGCCGTGACTCGTTGCTATAATTATAATAACAGGCAGCGTGCGTCGCACACAGCAAACGCACACGCCTAGGAATGCTGTGTGTGGGGACCACCCTTTCACTCACTCATTGGCTCTGAAGGGAGTCAATCACAGCACATCCCTCGTATTTTCGCAGGCGGCTGCAGCCTCGTCGGTAAGTCAGAGTACAAATCCAAAACAACCAAACATGAAAAAAATGAGAACAAGAAATATGCGCAATATATATATATATATATATACATATATGTATATTACTAAAGGAGACTCGCGCGTAGTTCTCCGTGGCAAGCTGGCGACATGTAGCTGATCACTTTGTTTCTATTGGTATTCCGTTTTACTGAATACATCGCAAATATCGCTGATCTGCGCTACATTGCGGCTGTTATATTTTTGACGTTTAGAGATAGACACGATTACGATTTATTTGGTGACGAACTAACTTTATCTACTTCTGCATATGTCATGCTAAACTGCTAGCGACAGCATCAGTGACAGAGCGCATTGAGTATATCGGAGATACATTCTTCTCGATAAGTCAAAGTGAGATTAAAGCTTATTCTGTATGTCGTACAGCTGTATTCCGCTTTTTGCAATAACATTTAGTATTTCATCCGTAGCTAAGGCTTATTCGAGCATTCATCTTTGATCCGAGGGAAATCTTCGAGTGATTCGTCTCTGACGAATACGCACGTATGTTGTGATCTTAAGTAATTTACGTGGAAAGTTTGACGCGGTTGAACGCGACAACTTATCGCCGTGCTGACGCCTAGCAGTCTAGTATTCGCATATCGAACGTAGGTAAGCGGTTCTCCAGGTTGCTTTCACGCACAGTCTAGGATTGGAATGTATTGTCATTTTGTGCAAAACACTTTGGCGCTGACAAACATTATTGCGATACATCTATTGGATAGACTACTATGATAGGGCCGGGAGACTTTCTGTACGCTACACACAAAATGAAAAATGATTTTGTCATCACCAAAATGGCGACTGTTCAGTTGTTGTCTTTATTTTGTGTAAACAGCTTCTGTCAGCGTCTCGATCAGACATGTAGTACCTAGGTGCGCGCTCCTCCATTCTCTGGTACCACCACACTGACTGACCAAGTCAACTTCACACCGTGAGTAAACTCCACAACCATGAGCCAAACACGAGCAAATTCGGTTCTTGTAGTTTTTTTGCTAGTGAAACCGCCCCTCCCCCGAATCAGTGATACCTTTTGACCACGTTTCATATTGCAGGAGTCTATTTTCTCCTCGCACAGCGTGCATCTATTTTCATGCACCGAGTTATTCCACCCCTTGTTAGCTTGAACCAAAATTGAAAAAGAAAGAAATCATGGGTTACCGTATGGACGAAAGACAGCTTGCACGTTCCATTACGCTGAAGTAGGCAAACAGATCAGTGCAAAAACGCAAAGAACAACTTGTCTCGGGGATAAAGAAAAGAACTGCGAGATACGATGAATATTGTCTTTTAAGCTTCGTAACCGCAAGCATATACACGTACATATGAATGCGAGCCGCAGCGTTTCCATATAATATGACCGTCATCAGGAAGAGCATTTAGAAAAGAGTCGTGCTTGTATGATACTGTAACGCGAGTAGTTTTTCATTCATTCTAATAGATTTACTTCGTCGAGTAATACGTACGTATTGTCCGGTCGAAACTCGCGCGAAGTTCATCACTTTCTCTTCATCTCGATCGTTCGGGAGACTTTTCCAAACAGTAACCCATCTTGGACACTAGTATAACGAATAAGGATGAACCAATACTAATTTATTTCTAAGACGTCACGTTTATAACACGAGTCGTTAACGGTGGGCAAACTATTGTGCATTTGATATCCAACAGTTTGCTGCATCAGCTGCCATAACGCGTGTGTGTAACCATTACCAGAGGAATACAATGTTGACAGAACAGTGTGACAGTTTCTTGGCAAATGTGAAAAGATGTTTTGGTGGATACCCTCCTTCGTGATGACTGCGCCTCCGATTGGTATTATACTTTCTAATAATTATTGAATATTGATCAAGAGTCAGTAAAATAATCTCAAAAGCTCTCCCCTTTCAAAGCTCTCTTAATAGAATATATTACCATAGATTTAGACACTATCGATTTTACAGGCACATTTGCAATGTTGTAAGTACATTGGGTGGCCTCTGCGATGCATCTGTTTAGCGTTTAAGGTACTTACATTTATAAGCTAGAGCCTAAGACAACTCTTATGCCTGTATCCAAATATTTGTACCTGCACTTAGGTAATTGATATGTAAACCGAGATTTCGCGTAAGATGCCGCCGATCGAGCATACTCCAGTGGAGTGAGTATACCATATTGAAATGAACATCTCTCTACATTCGTTATGTCAGATGATTATTAAGGCTTTACACAACTAGTAATCGTTCTGCGTGTACGAATCGAGTATGACTGTTTTTAGTGCGATTTTCTTTTTCTACCGGTACCGTTTTATCTCTCTTTCTCTATCTCTCTATCTCCGCTATGGCAGAGAAAGATAAGAAAACGAAACGATCACGAAGCCGATAAGGATATTCGTGAAAACGAGCAGAGACATATTTGTACGTCTGCCAGCCACTGGCGAAGAGTATACTGGCAAAATTTCTCTCACGAAATTGTGATGTTCTGTTAATTTGACCGAGTCGAGCAATTAGTACGTTGTTGAACGAAATCGCTAATAGACGTTTCTTTACGATACATAATGCATCTTCCTGCTCTTCGTTTTGTTGTGTACCTAAGGAGAGGATACGATTGCTAGTTTCTTGGTTCCATCATTATCACAAGACCGACGCGCTTGTCTCGACATCCTCGTCTCACCTGCACCTGCGTTCTTGTGTTTTATAGAAGCAGGAAGAGGAGAAGGCCCAGGTGAAGCGAAAGAAGGAGGCGGTCGAGAAGGAAGAGCGCGAGAAGCGGGAAAAGGAGCGGCGCGATAAGCGCGACGACGATGCCTCCACCAAGGACGACCAGGATGGAGATCTTGGTAGTCCTACGTCTCATAAGGGTCGTAGCGATAGTACCGGCAGCAGTAGAAGGGACAAACGCCGATCCAGATCTCGGTGAGACATCCACCGAGTGCTTTCTCTTACGGGATTCTCTAACGTTCCATCTGTTTCATTCGTGGGACACATGACGTAGTTTCTTTTAGCGTGATGTAACTCACGAGCTTCAACTTCTCAGGTCTAAAGAGCGCGACAGAGACCGACCGAGAAGCGACAGAGACCGGGATCGGGACAGAGACCGCGAGAGAGATCGAGAGCGGGAGCGGGATCGCGAGAGGGAACGCGAGCGGGAGCGCGAGCGAGACCGGGAGAAGGAGAGAGACCGGGAGCGGGAGAGAGAGCGGGAGCGCGAGGAGATGAGAAAAACCGAGAGGGAGATTATGCGCGAAAGGGAGGAGGAGGAGGAAGCGAAGGAGAGGAAGAAGAACGAGAGGCGGGCGAGAGAGAAGGAGGCCGCTTATCAGGAGCGTCTGAGGGCGTGGGAAACGCGCGAACGGCGCAAGCTCAAGGACTACGAGAAGGAGATGGAGAAACGTCGCGGGAAACGCGAGACCCGCGAGAGAGAGGCGAAGCGTCTGAAGGAGTTCCTCGAGGACTACGACGACGATCGCGATGACGCCAAGTATTACAAAGGCAAAGAGCTGTCCCGTCGGCTGGAGGAACGCGCGGTCGAGGCCGAGGCGGACTCCCGGGACCGCTGTACCGAACGCCAGGAGCTTCAGCGTCTACGCGACAAATTGTACGCTGACGCTTCTCATCCGGATCCTGCCGCGGAATTCGAAAGGGTGAGTCCTGTCGATTGAGGAGGTAGTGGAGCTACGCCAGCTCCTAGATCCATTCATCATGCTGCCAAAGCTTCACTGTCCCGTAAATCCCAACTTATCGTACGCATTCATCTTTTCAGCTGAAAGCCGAACGGGAAGAGCAATACAAGCCTAAACCAGTAATTACTATAATCGATGAGGAGGATGAGAAGGTATTGAAGAAGGAGGAGGTGATGCCGCCGATAGAAACCGAGCCAATTGAGAGCGACAGCGACGACGGGGTGCAATTCGACGACGCTTCTCAGCCGGAGGTTCCGTCCAGAACGCCGCCGCGATCACATCATCATCATCATCGCCGACATCACAGACATCATCAGAATCACCATCGCGACGGTGAGGAGACTCAGGAAGGCAGCCTGGAGGCGGCGGACCGGGAAAGCCTGAAAGACGCACGGCCGTCGCCAACTCAGGCCACAACACCCGCTCAATCCATTCCACCAACGCTAGACGAGGATTCGCGTATGTCGTTGGTCAGCGAGCCAGAGAAGACGAGCGGCAGTGAGTATCTCGGTTGCTCTATTCTGTAACTTTTAACGATACGACTTTCATCGTTATTATATCAAACGAAAGACGAAATTATATAAACGTATAATAAGCACTTGTAAATTCTACAAACGGGTGACCTGTTAGTCAACCTTGAAGAATCAAAACGTTTCGGCCATTTCTTCGTTATCTTCAATTAAAAATTACAAATAATAGTCAGTTATGAAAAACAAAGTAGAATCGTATAACACAAAATAGAGAAATCATACTTTTTAATGAGCACATTGTTGTTAGATGTGCAGATGACTATATATGCAGACAATCACACTCTCGATGGGTACCTTTTCGAGATTGTAGATTATTTCTAGGATGCCCAAGAAAAGATTGTCATTATAAAACATCATAAAACATTCGTAGACTGTAATAGAAATTTGAAAGAAATTAACAAATTTTGATGGTAACATGTTATCGTTAATCTCACCGATGGCAGAAATATGCGATATTTTCGAGTTCTTTCCGAAGAAAAATTGAAAAATACGATTTTGTCAATTATATGGCATATATAAAATATGTTATGAATGTAAAGAAAAGAAAATTAAGGAACAACAATAGTGAAAAAAAATGTTATGTAACATTTCAGTATCCTATTGTGCGTTATTTTGACTTTTTATATGACATCTCAGAAATCGGTATTTTATAATATCTTTGTTGCGATAGGTAACTTCGTTCCGTTTGCCATGGGAAGTGGTGGCAACCGTGCAAGCGGAGATCACGCCGTAGGAAGCAAAACGCCGGTCAGTCCGAGTGCAGCTGCCAATGCAAATTCGCAACAGGCAAATCAGACGCGGAAGAAGGGTCGTATGGACGTTAAGGATGTTTTCAATAATGATGATGATGACGATGCAGCTAATACCGCGAAGAAACGTAAACTCGTGCCACTGGGTGAGTGTCTTACCTTCGTTACCAACTCCAATGAAAGAAACCTGAAATATCTACAATCGTTGCTCCTTGCAGATTACGGCGAAGATAAAAAGAAGAAAACGGAAGAAGCCCCGAAACCGGGAAAAGAAGAAAGTACAAAAAGTCAGGAGGAGAAGCGGAAGCACATCAAATCTCTCATAGACAAAATACCTACCGATAAGAATGCATTATTCGGCTACCAACTCGACTGGGCAGTGATAGACAACGTAAATATCAATTATGTTTTTGTATACTTTGCCTTTAGAACAAGAAGACTTTGTTCTTATTTTGCTTTTAGAGGTGGTTTCACTAATATCGTTTGGTTCATGCTATTTTAACTTAGCTCTCTGTCCAGTACTATAGCAATTTTGATTGATGAAACCGGCTCTTGCTAACTCCAGCTTCATTTTCACTTCCTTTTATACTTACTCTTTCAGACATTGATGGAGAAAAGGATCAGACCTTGGATCAATAAGAAAATCATCGAATATATCGGCGAACCGGAACCTACCTTGGTAGATTTTATTTGCAGCAAAGTGATGGCGGGTAGTTCGCCTCAAGGAATACTTGACGATGTACAGATGGTAATTGATGCAAATATTACGGAATTATAAATATTACACATATTACATATTTTGGTTGTCACGTTTTACATACAAACGTTACGGAGTACATATCTCGTGTGTTTTAGGTATTAGACGAAGAGGCGGAAGTGTTCGTAGTTAAAATGTGGAGGTTACTAATCTACGAAGTGGAAGCGAAAAAAATGGGCTTAGTGAAGTAATCTGGAAAAATAATCTGGGGATGCCGTCTGAAGAATTTTATGATTCAAAGTTTATACAAGATATATTCCCTCGGCTAAGACGATGTCTAGAAATTACGTGTATCTAGACGTAATTTACCTATTATACTATGAAAATGGACGGGGAAAATACTGTGTCGTTACTCCGAAATCGACTTTAAATGTGTAGTAACTATAGCGTTAAATAAACTTGTAATTACGATTTATAATATGTCGCGCGCTCTTCAATTTATCTGTGATCGTCGGATCGGTAAGTAACGAAATCGTCATGACAATTTAATGGAGAAGAATTAACTCAATTTATCGTAACGTTATTATTTGTAACATTAGGCTAAATCATACAATGTTTATTTCTAACGGATTTATTTCTTACTACTTGAAAATTGTATTAAAATGAGAAAGCGCGTATTTCACAACTCTTCTTTTGAATCATAGATATCGGAAATATGCATATCACTAAAGAGCCTCTAATAGGAAAAAAGCGCCTACGGAATCACGTGAATCATATACTCTGTCATGCTAATCAATTACATAATAATTGTTGACTTTCTAACGTTCTACGGGTCATGGCATACACAAAAATGTAAGCAGTAAGAAAATTGACCAATTGCAATATATTATTTTTCTTGCGGTTGCAGAATCGACTGTGATTGGCCAATTGGCTTATCTCTTACGTCTTATTCCTTGTTTAAAATCTTGCTTTAAGACTTTAGCAATAAGCAAATTTACCAACCATGATCGATTATTTTTCTAATAAATTATCTTAAAGCAAGATTGTGGTCAAGAAGTCAACTGTTTACGTCTTTCTGTGTGCTATGGCTCTAATACATTCTAACATAAATGCACCACTGCATCCAGGAATCAGGAAACATGCTAACTAATTATAGAGTAGTTGGTCACGTAACTTCGTTACGTAGCACTTCTCTCCTACCAGAAGCTTTTTATATATATCACCTTGTTTTTGTCTATTCTTTAACAATTTTCTTTGTTTATTCTGTATCTATTTCTTGTGTGAGTACTATAGTATAGACTTAATGGTCCACGACAAGAATGTAAAATGTGTACACATTTTTCATTTTCTCCAAAACTTTTAAAGGAGCCTTTAAAGGGACACACACACATATATATATATTCTACATTTTTGTTGTGGACCATTAAGTCTATAGTTCACACAAGAAATAAACATAGAATAAAAGAATAAAATTGTGTGTGTGTGTGTGCACATACGCGCGCGCGCGCACATACACACGCGCGCGCGCGCGCGGTCTGTCTGGAAATTATTCGAACTTGTGCTGGAGAAAAAGTTAATTCTTGGCAATGGCAACAATACCCCCTTTCAAGTACTCCCCTTTGGAAGCCACAACCTTCTTCCAACGATTCTTCCATTTTCGGAAGCACTCCTTATATTCAACTTGCGGAATAGCTAACAGCTGCTTTGTCGCATTCCTTTTTATTTCCTCTTCGTTGTCAGATCTTTTTCCTTTTTCAGAATTTTTCAATTTAGGGAACAGCCAGAAGTCGCAGGGAGCCAGGTCAGGACTGTATGGGGGTTGACGTAGTTGAACAATTCCTTGTTTCACCAGAAATTGCTGAATAAGCAGCGATGAATGGGCAAGTGCGTTGTAATGAAGTATCCAGTCGCCACTTTTCCACAAATCAGGCCGTTTCTTTCTTACTGCGACACGTAATCGCTTCAGAACTTTTCGATAATACTCTTTGTTCACTGTCTGACCTTTTGGAACGTATTCATGATGAACAACACCTTCCTGGTCGAAAAAAACAGTGAGCATTGTCTTGTTGTTGCTCCGATTCTGGCGCGCTTTACTGTGTCGTTGCTCTTCGGACGTCTTCCACTGTGAAGATTGGACTTTTGTCTCAGAGTCATAACCGTAAATCCATGACTCATCCCCAGTAATAATCTTTTTGAACATTTCCGGGTTGTTTCTGATTATTTCCAAATTTTCTTGGGCGACTTCCACTCGATAATTCTTTTGCTCTTTCGTCAGCAGCCGTGGAACGAATTTTGCAGCAACGCGGCTCATCCCCAAATCTTGACTCAAAATTTCCGAAACGATACTTTTTGGGATCCCGAGGTCTTCTCCTATCTCTCGCATTGTCAAACGGCGATTTTGATTAATTAAAACTCGAACTCGTTCCACATTTTCAGGAGTTTTTGTCGTTGCGGGCCTGCCAGCACGAGGATCACTTTTCACAGAAATACGACCATTTTTAAATCGCTTAAACCACTCTGTAATTTGAGTATCACACATAGTTTCATCGCCATGCGCTTTACGAATCATAGCGATGGTTTTCGAACAAGAATAGCCGAGTTTTTGGCAAAACTTAATGCAGATTCTTTGTTCGATGCGTTCGGTCATCGTTAAATGCGACGCGTACGAAATCTAACGTTTACACGGCAACGTATCGTTGCCGACTGAACAGCTGTTCTTGCGTCGTGCCGTTTGGTGGGATACTCACAAAGTTCACGTTCACATTAAACGGTGAATGGTGAAAATTTTGTTGACAAAAGCACACCTAGATATGAAGTTACAGCACAAAGTCGGATATTTTCCCGACAGACCTCGTACATATATATTACATATATATATATAGTCGCTAGCACTGTGGGGAAAGAGAATAAAGAATATATACGTGAAGAATAATCATATAGAAAGAAGATTATACATATATATATATTTTTTTTTCCCCCACAGTGTTAGCGACTTGTCTTACGTTCCGATACTCTCTGATACCCGTAGAAATAACGTATCGATTGAAACATGGAAAAAAGGAATCTGTAGAATCTGTCTTACCTACTGTTTACACACTAAAGTACTGTATTTTTATACTAGATGGCGCTGCACGTACCGTTTCCCGCGCGATTTGCCACACTAACGTTAATAACAAGATGGACGGCGCGGTGCTTCATCTGTTTAATTCCAAGTAGGTAATAATTTATTTAATACACGTAAGAGACAAGTTCCCGTCACTTTTACACACACAGGCACTGCATAAACGATCGATCTCTCATATATATTGGCGAGATCGCTTTACATGTTCGTTTTGAAACGAAGGAAGCCGTTCTTGATTTTATTGCGACGCGAAACCGGCTGGAGCAGCCAACTTTTTCGTCTCCGCTCTACGTCGTCGCGAAAACACCGGCTTAATTCCGGAGCATTAATTACGATGATGTATTTGACGAAGTCGTCAAACGGTCGAACGGCGAAAATGATGCGGCCTCCTTCCCGTCCCTCTCTTCGTCTTGCTGCGTGTACGCATCGGTTGTCGATCAGAGATCAATCATGATTGACTCGATCGATATTAGCGCGTTTATACGCGAATATCTGCCGCGGGCAACCGGCCGGGTTCTCTCCTTCCGTGACAAAAAACCAGAACGCGCAGATTGTTAATGGGACGCTCGGGCAGTCCGCACATAGTCGAATTGTAAATCGAGCTCCACCGCTCGAAAAACACTCTAATTGCCGTTTGTTCGCCTTTTTTGCATAGTTCTCGTGACTTCGAGATTAATCTGTTTGTTCCTGCCGCGCGAGCTTCTTGCAGCACGAGGAAACCTTCCTTGTGGTACCGAAAGTTACCTTGCGTGCATGCGCGAACGTGCATAATAAACATTGTTTTACGCCACAGCGCGAGTAACATACAGTGTATTCTATTTTCACCGCGTAAAAATACGTCGATCTCCACTTTTCTCCTATTTTCTAAATTTATATAAATTTTTTTAACGCGACTTGATCACGTACGCACTTGATTTACAATATATATTTAAACGGTAAAAATTTACTGTTGGATATGTGCTTTATTTTTAATTAAAAAAATACGATTTTCATTTGTGCGCGAATCCATTTTGACGTTACGACGCCGGTAATTACAGGCCTGATGATAGTATTCCAAATTCGGGGAAGTTCAATTATCTGAAAAATGCAGTTCCGATTACAGATAATTGGATAGTTTGACTCGCGAGACACTACGTGCACGCTATATATCACACAATAAGCGTATATGCGAGACGCATAAAAGTAGACACGCTTTAATACATGTAATAAGGCTGCCATGTTGTGCATTAAAAATCCATTCGACACGCATACAAGTGGATGTAATTTACATTTGCGCCGCGACTACTTTGTATCTAACTCTTTCATCGGTTTGCTCAGTTAAGTCGAGGATTTCGTCCGTTCTATTCGCACGTGACGCATCTTCGGTTACAATGAAAGGCACGGGTCTTAATCTCTCCCTCGTGCCGTAATTTCAACGTCAGCGCGGCAAAAATTGGTAACTGTGAAACGAAATTACGCGCCGATAAATAACGACGGCTCACCGACAATGGCGAGTCGAATCGTCGGGAAGCACACGGGAGAGAGAGACCACGCGGCAATTTAAATAAATTAACGGAGCCCGAGTTTTGTAGCTGTTCAACGATCCGGTTTATTCGCGCTGCAAGCATCACTTAATTACGATATCTCGCGCCAATATCCATAGCCTTGTTGAAGTTCTCTTTGCTGTTCTCGCGACTGGGGTAAATACGACAATAACCTCTCCTCGTTGACCCTTAATAGAGAGAAAATCGTTGAGACTTCTTATTTAACGGAAGCCACAGAATTGTCACATCCATCAACTGTGCATGTCAATGAAAAAAAAGAAGAATTCGGTCATATTTATCCCAGTGTAATGCGACGATGATCACGATTGGCTCTGTTATATCGTCATCTCCGCTAATTCTTAATCGAAAGCAACGACGCGTGTTCACATAATGAAAATGATAAATTTCCACTCGATTCCCGCGGACTCTGCTCTCCATTCGACCTCTATCGCGCGCATTTCGGTCTCGACATCGCGCCCCTTCCTCCATGATCGCGAAGGTCTTCGGGCTTTCCCTGATTCGCTTTCGGGCGTTTTTTTCCAGGTGAGATCTCCACTGCTTCGTTCGAAGTTTTCCCTCGTTGCGGCCCGTCTCATGAGACGGCGAGACGCGGGGACCGAAATCCGCGCAGGGACGACCGCGCGTTATGTAAGTGAAATTCTGGTTTCTCACGTGTGGCCGGCGCCCTCGTTGTTTTTCTCTCTTGTTTCTTTTCACTTAGCTTCGTAAGAATTAACACACGTCTTATCTAATCGTAGCTTGAAAAAACACTGTGCATATTGTACCTGTGTATTTTGAGACACCTTTTTCACGAGGCCGCAGTGGACATTTTTACAAGAGAAAAGGGGAAAGAAAGAGAGAGAGAGAGAGAGGCAAATTTTGTAAAATGTGGGTCTCAATAACTAATCCCTTTCACTACACAAAGATATGATAGTATAATAAATACCGAATAAAGGATGAATTTGATTAACATTCTCGTCAAGGACGACTGATACGCTCCGATTGTTTTATCATTATCCTGCGTATGTGTGTTTGTGAAGACGCATTTTGTCGCTGATTATCGCTAATATGATCTCGACGCGCCTAGATTCGGAAACAATATTTACAATTCTTTCGTCGTTACATGATGTCTTCAGTAGAATCAACATTTTTCTCAGGAATCGATCAAGGTTCGATCGCTCGGGATTTTCCCTGTTTCGTCGTTTATTTTTACATACGTGCCTAATGGCGAGTCCTTGCGTCGTGCGCACGATAACGGTTGACACCGAAGGAGGGAGGAAGTTCAGAGTCCTTCGGACGAGCGCACACGTATGTGCGTTTACGCGTGTAAACGGCGTGGTAACGCGCTGCGACACACACGACGTAACGCTATTGTTACACATATCGCAGACAGCGTCATGCCTTCCGACATGATGCGTTCAATGTAAAGATAGATTACAATTTAATAATATAGCAACAAGAGAGGTTCTCTTTTCACGGAGAGAGAGAGGGAGAGAGAAAGAGGCGTTGTTTAAAATACAATGCATTGTAAATAGATATATAAATAGATACATTTATTATTTCAACTGCAATATCAAGAAGAGGATTCGGTTTATAAAAAAAAACATTTTTTAACCACACCCATCCACCTATATCTTATATATTAAACTTTTCTTTACCTATGTACTAACCCTAATATCATAGCAGATACAATCTATAAATTTTACAATTTAAATTCTCACCCTTCTACTTATTTGACTTGTATTTATAGAGGAATAATATACAATTATATATAATATAGATATTTAAATATACAAATAACATAATTTAATTTTATACACACACGTGTGTGTGTGTGTGTGTGTGTAAATGTTATGTTATTTGCATATTTAAATATATATATAATATAATAAATATATATAATTTAAATATATATATCCTATTTTCTTTCCCTATCAAATATTTATTCATCTCTTCCATATTCTCATATCTTAATTTCACCAAAACTCTCACTTCATCACCCATTCTTAACCTAAGTTCTCTTCTCAAATAACTATAGTCGCCTCCTTCTATTCTTATTTCTTTATATCTGTTATCATATTTTGAACTTGCAATCCTACTTTTCTCCCATTGATTCTTTAAATCTCTTTCTCTTATAATTATATATTTCTGCTTNCCCCCCCCTCTTTGTTTTTTATATCTTCCGATAACTCTATTTGTCAACTATTCCTCTATAAATACAAATATATTATATTAAATTAAGATAATTTTTTTACATTTCTTCCCGCGGTTAAAGTCATTTTCTACCGGCGTTCCAAAATTGTCGAGAATCGTCAATAAAGGAGAAACTGTGCGGAGAGCAAATATTTAATGAAGCAATGGATCATCCTTTCGATGACGTTCCTTATCGGTGTCGTTCGTTTCATTTACTTTTTCCCGAAAGAGTGAGACCGGTCGACAATCATTGATAATATTTCGCACATGTGGAAAGTCGCAAAGTCGCCAAGAATCCGCCGCAGAAACAGTATCGAGAGAAATTTTAACATTTAATTTGTGACGACTTTCTCAATTTTTTACAGTAAGCTTGTGTCAGTTCGCGCGATCGTCTTTATAACTGTAACCGTAGATAAAATTGATCGGTCGATTATGAATACTATCATTTTATTTTCGCGTGAGGGAAACGTGATTTTCTTTCGCGACGTTTTCGCTGGCGAAAACGACGACGAAGTCCGACCGCGACGCTAGATTTGAGGGATTACTCGCGATAAACGAGAACCGGATTTGAATATCGATCGGCTGGTCTACGGCGTTGGTCATTGAATTGCAAATTAAGTGCTATTCTTCGCATTATGTGCACGGCTTTGTCTTTCCGCGAACATCACTGTTCGCGCTACATTCTTCGTCGTTATATCGCGCCACTTGATGGCCTCGGCAAAGGGTTAATACAATTCAATGATCAGTCCATTATGAGAAAAAAGTGCTGCAATCCTTTTTATATGCGACCTCATTCCTTCCTTATTGCAACTTAACGAGAAATAACTCATCAAATTGACGGCAGAAAATGAAGATGACGTTAAAATGATGAGAAAATGACGTCATTTTCATATCATTGCCACTTTCTTTTCTATACCTGGACTATTAACAAGATAGCACAATGTCGGAAGCCGGGGCATAAGACGTCTTCTAAGATGTCTGAAGAACGTCTTATGTCTCGATTTTGTCTGCTGTCTCGGTGCTGTCTGGGTCGCAGAGTGACGACAAATGATCGCAATTGGTGCGACAATAACATCAAGAAATTGACGTACGTTGGTATCTTTATATGAGGCTGCTTAAAATTACCACTATTCTTCCAAGTGAACGCCTGCTTAACGTACCGTGCACTTTCTTCCACACGTGCGACTGACTCGAGAGATCGGATTCACATTAACCGCGTCATTGGAAATTTCTCGAATACCGGGGAGAAAGCGAATGCGCGCGATTCATTTTTCCGAACGCTAAGAACGGCCGCGCGTGATCGCGCGAGCAATTGCAACGGCGGTGCGACTCCGGCCGCCGCGGAATCGTGTTAATCTCGGCGCGAAGCGACCGTGTGAATCGACGGCCGTTCAGCGGCACAAACTACCCCACTATTTGTTGCGGCACGTGATGGCACTTTTGCATTCTCGTATGTTTCACACTCGCAATTCTACCCTGTTCGAAAGCCCACCGCGTTCTTGGGAAACCCTTTCTTCGATATGTCGAACGAGATATTTCGATATGATGCGTGATATTTCACCGTGACATTAATTGTATGATTCCCTTTGATCGATCGTAATTGTCTTGAATTGTTAAGCTTTCTTGAGAGAAATATAATCCCGCGAGGTGGAAAGGTGCAATTTCGGGGATAATTTCATCGAATATGCGATGAGAACGGTTAACTTCAAGAGCCAACGTGCTCTCCGAGGGACTCTATTGCGCACCGCTATTCAAAAAAGCCATATCGATCGTAGTAGTTGTGTTCGATTTTGTGCAAATCGCAGACGTCGGATTGCTCCTAAGTTTATCTTAAGATAAGATTTGACCAATGAAACAACTCGTTGGAGCAACTACCCAGTGAGTAGAATGCCCAAAATCGACGCGTAAGACAACTTTAAAATATCTTCCAGAGTTCGTCGAGAAACGTCTTAAAGAAGTTTCTTAAAGAACTTTTAAAGATACCTTAAAGTTATCTTATGTGTCGATTTTGGACTTCCTGCTCACTAGGTAGAGCAAATCGATGTCTCCGATTTGCAAAACCGAACGCAGCAATAATTGGTCTGTTCTTTATAGCTGAACCGACCGAGATTCTCACGTCTACGTGTGCGTAAATTTGTTGAATCAATGCAATTGGTTTAGCTAAAAAGAACAGACCAACGGTCTCGGGTAGGACAGGAAATGATGGTGACGTCAAAACGACGAGGAAATGATAGACGGGAAAATGATAAAATTTTCCACGTGTTCGTCATTTTCTGTTCTACCTGGGCTAACACTGTGTGTTAGGGAGCCGCCTAATTAAAGATTCGGGCGATTCTGTGCGACTCATACGTCACTGCGCTGTCATCGAGGAAGGACCCCGAGACACCGTGTGTCACTTGCGCGAGACTTGGCACGCGTGGCCACGGCGACAGCGGCGGCGGTGTGGTGGTAAACGGAGGCAACAAGGAGAGACGATGTCCGCGCGCGTCTTTGTGTGGAAGCCTCAGTGTCCCGTTGCGGGCTGGCCCGTTCGTGTCACGGTATTTGTGTCGTCGCTCTGCACTGCATGTCGCTACCGTCGTAACAGCGTACTTACGAGCGAGAGAGAGAGAGAGAGAAAGAAAGAAGAAGACTAGAGAAAGAGGGAGTTGCGAGAAAGAAGGGAAAGAGAGGGAAGAAGGAGAGAGAGGACGGCCGACACTAGTGGTGCGTGTACGTGAGACAGTTGTTCGCTCTCGCGTTCTCTGTGTGTCGTCGGCCAAAAATAGACAAATGTACGACGAGCGCGCGTCGTCGCCGTCGGTGGTTCTTCGTATCTTCTTCTTCCTCTGCTCGTCGACGACGATGCTGCTCGACTGTTGAGAGGAGAGCGAGGCTGCAGCGACGAAATCAGCGACTATCTCCGGGGGAGATGGAGGTTCTTAAGACGTCCCAGGAGATCGTCCACGAAGGATGGCTCATCAAATCGCCTCCTACGAAACTCTGGAGAGCGGTAGGTACACGACCGTCGCTATCGCGTCGCTCCTTCGCTATCTGGTCGCTCATTGTTTACGTCGCGCACCTTGCCCGACTGACAAGTCACGCTGGCCCCTTCATTCTCGAAGGGCGCTCTTCGAGTATTTTGGCTAACCTCTTGTCGCGGAGACGTAACGCTCGTTGCTGCTTTCGCGGGGCTCGGTATAACCTAATTTCAAGAGAGAACTTGCCGTGATATCACTCTCGAGGCTCGTGCCGCCGACGAGGAAAAGTAGTCCTCGCAATAAGCGGTGTAATGTGTTTGTCGGCCACTCGGATGTTTATCAAAGTTCCGTAGTTGGCAGGAGTGTGCTGCGGGGGTAATGCAGTGTTCGCAGTAGACCGCGAGTCAAGAGAGTGATGCGATTTTTTTTTATGAAGGTAGATATTGTGGTCTTATCAGTGTTCGGTTTTGTCCAATTAGCGGTGGAGGAAACGCTGGTTCGCTCTTCGTCATAGCGGCGAACTACCTGGTCAATACTTTTTGGAATATTACACAGACAAGCGCTGTCGCAAACTCAAGGGTCGTATCGATCTGGATCAATGCGAACAGGTATATTCGTCGTTTTCTCTTCATTGTACGTTTTATTAACCATTAGTGAGCGCTCACGAACAATCCTATCGCAGGTGGACGCTGGCCTCCGTTTTGAGAATCGTAAACAGAAATACCAGTATATGTTCAACGTTAAGACACCCAAACGGATCTATTATTTAGTGGCTGAGAATGAAACCGATATGAACAAGTGGGTGGATGCTGTGTGTCAAGTTTGCGGTCTGAAAGCGTACACTCAGGATGAGGAGCAACAAAGTAACAACTGCTGAACTCATATGTCTACCTCTATTTCTTCGTTAGTTATACAGGGTGCATAAGCGGAACACTTATATATCTAATAATTTATAGGGCTCTATAAAATTCTCAACTTGTCAATATAAAGCTGTTAAGGTACCATAGAATATAAAGCTATAAAGCATAGAAAATAAATAGTAACTATGTATAAAGTTGTCTCTCTACACAAATTACTTATCAGGATCATACATATTGTCAAAGATTACAATCCAATAGATTGTGATCTTTGACAATATGTATGATCCTGATAAGTAACTATATAAAAACAACTTATACATGGCTACTATTTAATTCCGATGGCATTATAATAACCGTGCTCGGCTCTTAACGGTCTTATACTGGTAATTTAACCTGAATATCTCCTTTGTTTTTAATGATATGAAAAATGTTTTGAGCTCAATTCGAATGATTTCAAAAGTGGAATACCGTGGAAGGAAAAACATTCTTTATGATCATTTCTTCGATTTTTTTCAAGTACCCATATTAAGCTCCTGAGATTTTTAGGTGTTCTCTTTATGCTGGGAGCTACTGTATATTTGTCACATAAATATTTATACTAATACAATGTATATCTTTTTCTCAGTGTTTCAATACGAGTCCCAAGAATCGCCACCGACTTCACCCACTAGTACGATCTCCGGTCCGTACATTCCCATTAGCGAGTGCATTTCTGGTCGTCGGCTCAATGACACCAGTTCCTTGAACTCAGCCCTTGGTCAAGGGCCTGAGCATTACGATGCCCCGAGAAGATTGGCACCCTCGCCGCCTCGATCGCCAACGACGACGGACGCCGAGAGTGTGTTTACTGATGACGAGTGGACAACGCCTGTGCCCAGTGTGAACTGGGATACGTTTCCTTCGACGGGTGAGTGTCTTGTATAATTTATATCTTATATTTATGTCTTATTATATTGTAGTACGTCATCAGTTGATGACGTATCACATTTGTTAACGAATCAACATGTGATAGGTGACTCACGACCATCTCATGGCTTGAGTGACGCCGAGATCGGTTCGTGGAGTGTGAAGAAACGCTTTGGGAAACTTAAGATCGTCGACTCGGCCGTGCCGCCGGCCGTTGAAAAATTGCCAGCTCCGCCTAGACCACCGAAACCGCCCCATATGTTACCGGAGAACCCTGGGCATAATTATTTGAACCTGGACGGCGCCACCGAGAGCTCGAAACCGACCACTCCGGCGACGCCGGCGCCGACAACGCCAGCCGCGACCGCCGCTGTGACCGACGAGTCCTACGATTTTCCGAGATCTCATCAACCGGCGCAATCAACGGCGAGCGTGGAGAACGCAGTGGTCGACCAGTCGTCAAAACATTTCTACTCGAACGCCGCGCCGAGCACTGTCGATGACAATGCGCAAGTGTTTCGTTACGATTTCCACGAGGACGAACCGCCGAGTCCGCGATCCGAAAGTTCGACCACCGCGACCTATTCAAATCTGCCGAGCCCGCTCGTGCGAGACGGCACAAGCGCCGTTCCGACTACTATGGCGATGCCGCCGCCGATGGTCTACCGAGAACTGAAACCGGGTAGGAAGACCAGCGACTCGACGTCCGTCGTCAGCAATGAGCCGTCCCCGGGTCCTACGGTAGCAGTGAACGAGATAAGCTCCACCGAGCATTCACCGGCCGAGCCGCCGAGCATCAACAGGAAGTTGAAGCCGCCATTGAACAAATCGCCGGTGGAGGGTAGGTTTCCCTTCGTTTTTCGCACAAAATATAAAGCTGAGAAATACGAATATTTCGAGAAGAATTAACCCTCTCGGTAAGGTAGATTTTCAACGTATGCAGCCCCATGTTCTATTTTGTTCATTTGAGTGAAAGAAGGTAAACAATAATATGAAACATTCCTTAAGAAGAGAAACAGCGCGTGCACGCTGTAAAATAAAGGAGCCGTGGGGTCGTATCCGACCTCAACCTTACCGTCGGAGGGTTAACGCTAGCAGCACTGACTCGGACTCTTGATTCGCAGGACCCTTGCAACTAGCCTCTCCTCCTGGCAAAGGAAGGATGAGAGCAGCGCCTAGCCCAACGCCCCCGTCGCACGTGCATGCGACACGTCATCAATCAACATCAGACGAAGACAATAATGCCTTCGAAGATAAAGAGGAGGTACGTGTAGAGCGATTCCGAGAATTCCACGCAATCTCGGCGTGACTTAACGCGTAAACTCGATTTACAGATATACTATTATCAAGATCACGACACGTTCATTCCCGCGTCCAATCGTCGCTTAGTTGTGCTGCAATATCTCGATCTCGATCTGGAGGCGACGGAGAGTTTCAGCTCGTCGACGTTACCATTGGCGCAGTCGCCGCCGAACACGACAGTGTACAAAACTGTAGATTTCCTGAAGACCGAGGCTTTCAATCGCACTCGACAGCGGGTCGAACGGGAGAGGAAACGATGCACGGATGGTTAGCGTAAGATCGTTGTATTATACAGTGCTGGATGAATCATGCGGGTATCGAGTAGACTAAAGCCCACGGCACATGGTGCATTTTTGCCTGCTGTTACCGTGTGCAATGCTGACGGTGCTGCTGGTTTGGCTTTACACGGTGCGAGTTTTCGTATTAGTCTGATATAAGGCCGGTATTCATATTAGGATCTCTCTTATATTTAAGATCGCCTTAAATTTACCTTCAGATACTTTGCAACCAGTGAAATGTTCCGTACTATCGCTGCGTGAATCACTGCGTGATTCTATTTTTAATTATGTGACTTAAGGCGTGTCCTAATGGGCTTTCGCAGTGAGCAGCATAGGACCATGCCAGAAAAATAGCACCTAATCTATCATGGATATCCAGCAAGCTAGCCAGCACAGGAACAAACTGTTTAGCAGGCAAAAACGCACTATGTGCCATGGATATAAAACCCTATCTACAATAGATGTAGTAAGCCATTGATTTTTGTTCTAAACTGTGACTTGATTTCTAACGAAAGGTGTTTCTCGCGTTATCAGGCGTTGCAATTTCTAAGTTTTAAGCGTTATTACGATTTTTGGTAGCTCAAAAAATATGTTTTGCCATAGATTAAAGTTGAATTTGCAATAGATGTAGCGAACTTTTGGTCCCAGTCAAACATTAGGTTTTTATAGCCTTAAGACCCACTTATGCAAGCCGTAAACCGTCAACTTATGCCAGAACTGTAAGAAATTGATCAGTAACAATTGAATGTGAAAAGAATAATTGAATGTGATCGGTCAATTTCTTACGGTGTTAACATAAGTTAACGTTTTACTACATAAATGAGCCTTTAAGAAATTTACTGATCATAGTCGAATGTGAGGAGAATAATCGATTGTGATTAGCCAATTTTTTGAGACTTGGCTTAAAATATTTATCGTAGACCGGGACTTAGCCTTTTGCTTTAAGTATTAAATTGTAACATAACTTCTAGCAAAAAGCATTTCTAGCGCTATCAGACATCGCGATTCTTAAGATTTAAGCGTTATTCCGAGTTTAGGTTCCGCAAAAAACGTCTTATAACTAGTCGATAAAACCGGTCTAACGCCCATTCTACCATTATGGTTTAAATTTAATGGACGATTATCTCATTGGAATTGACCAATCACATTCATCAATTTAGCTAATTGGTCAATGCGACTGGTCAATTCCCTTAAGCTAATCATCGATTAGACTTAAACCATGATAAAAACGGGCATAAATCACAGTTTAGAGCTTGGTGCAAAAGACGAAAAGTGAAAAAGACTTACTATGCTTATTGTAAATCGAGCCTAAGGAGTTTTTATAACGAACTTCCTGTTATGTAATGAAGAGAGATAGAAAGAAAGTCGGGAGACTTTCTTATATTCAAGCATTATACCGCGTATGTAAAACAGTACGGCAACAATGTAGTATATCTCCCGAACGAAAGACTGCGATGTCACAACGCAGTACTTACCGCAAGACGGCATCCAGTGCTTTTGCAAAGCGTATCTCATCATTTACGTTTAGCAGCGGTTTGCTTCATAAATTGGCTATGCAGTTAGGAGAAAGATCGGTTATCGAAGCGTTGTACAGCAATATAAAATGGACCAAAAATCTAATGTTATTAGGTAAGGAAGAGAACGACGGGCGATGAGCGAGGGAGAACGCCTTTGCATCGATCGCCGTTTTCGAGAGAGATTCCTTGACTCGGGACCTCCTCGATTAGATTAAGTATTATACAAATCGTAAAAAAAAATCTTAAATTTGGGTACAATTAATGGTTTTACGTTAGTTTTACTGTAGAATTACCGCGCAAGGCATTTTTATCGTGCAACGTATGCTTAATTAGCGGATTTATTTAGCGAAATCTATGATGGATTTTGTTAATTAAATCCGTTCATATTAAGGATGTCCTATTTTTTAGTACTAGATAAATAATATATGATATTTTTTTATCGTATCGCACGCCAAACGCAATCCGTTTCACCAAGGTAATCGAAGATATTTTACAGTGAAGATATTTATACGGCATCAGAAGAATCGTCGCAGTTACGACGTCAGCGAGATTGCACTAAAAAATATCAGATTTTAATACATGTTACATAGATTTTATCGTCAGAGACTAGTCTAATGTGATTATTGACTACTTCGAATATACCACATGCCTTGGTTTATAATATTGTTGACACAAAGATACTTTTAAATTTTTATTGACACTTTAAATTTATATTTTGCATTTTATTTCGTGGGACACACACACACACACACACACACACACACACACACACACACACACACACACACACACACACACACACACACACAATCGATACGAATTTGTTACTATTTGACTTTGCGATGCACATATCTCGCAACTGTAGTTTAGTAACTAGGTCATTGTTAGCGTCAAAAAAAAAATCAGGATATAAAAATGTGCATCATAGTTGGCCTCCAACTATTTTTAATTGTATATGTGCATGCCATAAATGTATATGTATACATATACGCACACACATACGCACATACGCGAGTACACGAACAGCGCAATTTTATTTTTGTAATGACACGACATTGTATAATTTAAAAATAATTTGTTATAAATCGAGAATTGATTGAAACGGTGATTGTGTAGCTCGATCGTGATCTTCTGAAGAGATGTTTTTTCTAGTTTGAAATTTACGATATATGTATATTGTAGAGTTATGTTAATGTTACAGACTGAATTTGTAGCAACGTGCAAATGCGGGATATAAGAACCTATCAAATCTTCCAGATCCGGAGTGATTGCGATGTCAATACAAACGTAATGGTTGCTATGAATTCATTTTTATATCTTTTACGTTATATACATGCTCATCAAGCTTGTGAAGTCGATGGATGTTATCGAAAATCTTGCAATATATTACTCGTATGAGTTAAATATCTCGTGTTCTTCAAATCGCTCAAGCGTCGACTATTGCCCTATAGTTATATTTTATATGTCGATATTAATGTTATCAAATTCTTTTTTCATCAAGCAAGGAAGATTAAAACGCGTTGCAATCGATGCAACATTTCGCAAACATATCACTGTAACATTTCATATCGACCAAATATCTGTCACTTTGTAGTGCAAATTATATATCCCACCAATTGTACGATAGATTTAATTAATTGGTTTATTCCTTTTTGTTTATACATTGGACGGCGCATCACGCGTGTACATTGCATATCATTAAAAAGGTATAAGCACCAAATGGATGAACATTCGTATTTCCTTTTGTAATGCGTGAAAGAAAGAAGGAATTCGTCGCTCCTATTATACAGACACTACCCTGATGTCAGCCTCATAAATCTAAGTTAGTCTTGACTGAGTCAACTGAACTTGAATTTATTCTGTCCTCCTCTGGAGACAAAATTAGAAAAGAACACGTTAATTAAACCTCAGTTGACATTATTCGATTCTTACAAGACCAATTGCCGCAAGAAAGCGTGCCTTTCTAATACAAAAATTTAAAAAGATAAGTCTCGTTAATTCGATCGAGCTTGTTCTACGAAATTAACTCTCGTAACTTGTAATCCGGTAAATTATTCCGCAAGAATGATATTAACGCGCCGTCTGCAAGCGATCGCCTTTACCCGATGTCGGTAATACAGGCGTGTTGAATTACCGGCGGCGTCAATATGGCGGTCGCGCGCGAGACGGTTGCTAGCGAGCGGGAGTGGTGGGTTCGTCGGCCAAACTCGGCCTGGTTCGCAGTCATTCGTACGGCGAGCGCGGAACGCGCGTTGTCTTGTCTAACGCTCAGACTTGTTCGGACACGTCGCGTAGCATCGCGGACGTTACATTGTTCTCGTGTGTCGGCGTCGTTAGTCTCGCGTCTGGTTTCATCTTGCGAACTGATCGTCCGTAGGAACAGTCGTGCGTCGCGGTGCGTAAGATTCGCGCGTGCCCGCTGTTGTCCTGGTGCAACTACGTAACATCGCGTGTGTAACGTTTTGTGCTTGTTGCCCCGAGTTCCTTCGAAGGGAGTTCTCTACAGGCGTGCAACCTTCTCCCGATCCCAACGACGCGCCGGAGGAGAAAAAGATATACAGACAGAAGGAGAAGCTTTGCATTGACTATCAGCATCGAGGAGCATCCATTGCGCCGAGATTCTCCAAATTTTCGAGGTACGTACCGCGCGTCTGCTTTTATCGTGTGTATGTGCGCGCGCATGCCGTACTTTTGGAGTCCCTTTTGGCTCCGTTTCCCTGTTCGCCGGAGCCACCACCTGTTGGCCATGGAAAAGTGCAACGACTCGTGACGGCCGATACCTTAAATCGGACGCCCGCTTTATTTACTCGCGAGCGTCGCCGGCGCGAATGCGAATCTGTTCGAAGCGATCGATCGAGAATCGGGGGGAGGGGGGACTTCCGAAAGTTCTCGTTTTGTGAAGATAACGTTCTTCCCAGACACAGCCATGTTTCCTCCCGAGATACTCCTTCAGGGATATCACGTTTTTACCGCCATTATATTCGCCTATGTAATTTTGACTTAGCTTTGCACTCGAGATCGACTCCGACATTGTTTGTTTTGATCCTTCTCGGGAAGACTCGCGTTCGTAGGTAGAAAAAGAGTCGAAGGTCGCCTCGACGTTTGGAGGTCTCCGGCCTGCGCAGGAATGTGTTTGACGCGTATATACAAGGTGCTCCATTTCTATCGATCGGAGCGGAAGCTCCGTACGGCCGATCACTAATAGCTCCGGGAGCTGTCGTTTTGACGTTTTGATTTCGTTGATGTTACCTTTGATTGCGAACCTTCGATTCGGCAAAAAGTGTGTCGTCCGACGGAGCACGAAGTTTCTCCACTTTGCGGAAAAATTCCAAATTTGTTCGGATAAATCCTTTCTATCAACGAATATGTTTCACGCGTGATGTAAAAGCTCACGGAGCAATTGCGCGTAGTATCGAATATCGCGGACGTGCGAGTCGAACATTAAAGACGAGAGAAATAGAAGACAGATCTTGCGCAGCGGGTGTTATTAGACTCGGTGTCAATTTAATTTCTCGGCGGGATAAGATCTAGCGGGGATTATGAGCTGAGATACGGATCGGAGGAAGAATTCTCCGTTCGCCCTCGCCATTGATTCGTATTCCGCCTGCGTTACTCCGTATTGTTGTTGAAGAAGAACGGAATTACGGGGATATTCGCGTGGCTTCTCGAAAATTGCGAGAAGTGAGTCGAATTAGATTCGCCGTAATTGCGGTGTGTAATTGTTTAGTTCGCACAGAGCGACATTCGTTTCTCGATATCCCTCACGAACAATGAATTTTTCTCCCAGATTTTCGCTCGGCGGCGCGAAGTTTGTGAAAAAAAAAAAGCATCCATGTCGGCTGTGTTTGTTTCTCTCATCTCGCTGGAGTGTTTGAATCCGGTACCTTCTCACGCGCTCGTGAATCGTTCACTTCTTACTCCAGCCACATCGCGATGCATAACATCTCCTGAAGCGCATGCAAAGTTGGATTTAACTTTGCAAGTTAAATTTCACTTTGTGAGGTAGATTCAACTTTGCGAGGTACGCTCGGCTAATTTGAATCAAATATAGTCTGCGTCTTCGCGGGCATATTTTTTTCCGCGATTTACACATTGATGGCGGATTTTTTTTACTCAAAATATAGATCGATCGGCGGTTTTCGGTCGCAAAGCACTTCCTCGATGTTAACTATTCAGCTCGTGTATAAAACACACAGAGAAAAGTACTACAATCAAGAAAACGTAATTACTTGTTTTTAGCCTCTTAAATCTAGTAATATTTTTATCAATTTAAATATATTTTAATAACTTGTGGTAAATACTTGCTTGAACTTTATAAATAAATTACTTAATTGTAAGTGTAAAATGACTTTAAATTTAATAGAGTAGTAGAATTATATAATACTTGTTCATTGAAGGAGTTTGATGATTAAAAATTTTTTCATCTAGTAAATATTTCCTAAAAATAAATTCTGATATTCTCAATATCATGAATTTGATATTTGTCGCAGTTGTCTTGACACATACAAATAAATGTTTATGCAAAGGAAATATCACACACACACACACACACAATTATGCAGCTAAATATTGCGATCGTGAATATTTCACATCGGTTGCGAAAATTAAATATTGTAATGCTTGCGGTCGAATATACAGACGTATGCAAATTAAACTTAATGTTAAAAAAAATTTTTAACTACATTTTCTATTCAAATATATCTTTATTTACACTTTTTTAATATTTTAATATTTTGTATGCATTCTCTTCCGTTGATCTAATGAGAAACAAACATTATTAATTTAATTATTGAGAAATTAAGCTCAAGTAAATTTTATAATCGACAAATGATTTGGAAAAAAAACACTAAATTTATATCAATAAAAATTGAAGACGTCACAATATAGACAGCAATTTCCCAGAAAAACAAATAGAAACAATACATTAATATATACTAGTATTTCCAAGTAATACTGATAATAGGAATAATTCACAAAAAAGAATTCCGTAAATTTTGCATAATTAAAATTTACATTGAGAGAATGGACCTGTAAATTCCAAATATATGAGAGAAATATAAGAGAATTTTACGAAAAATGTATTCTAATCGAAGATATGATGCAATCTTACATTGATAGATAAAAATGTTGGAGTTTTAGTCTAGTAATTTGCGCATAGTCTGTAATTACTGATGGGCGCACGCTCTCTCGCACTTTGGAATGTAAAGCGACGACATTACGATTACGGAGGATAAATATTGCAATCGCGGTCGGGAATCGCGGACAAAAGCGCGTACAAAGCGCCTCGATAATTGCGACGCGTAATGGTGCGCGTGATCGTTCGCGTACACGGTGGGCACGGTTACAAGGTTACACGAGTCGCTCCTCCGACTGATAATAATGAATCGTTACGAAATCAACGATCTGCGGGATTATTACCAAAGCGCGCCGTGAGTATTCGTTGACCGCGCCGGCGGCGAGCTTTATGTCAACACGAATTCCAGGGCACCGTTACGTCGTCGTCGTTTCCATGCGAGAAACTGTCGCGTGAAAGTCGCGGCATCGCCGAATTTGCGTTCGCGCGGCAAAGCACGATTGCGTGTCGATGCGTGCCGTTGCGTCAGGTGGGATACTTTTACCGAACACACACGCGAAAAATCGCACGCTCGCTCGTCTTATCTCACCGAGCCGAGATATATCGCGCAATTAAATGGATAATTAACGTCAGCGTCGAGGAGGATCACCGATGTATCAGTGCGCGTTGCTGGTCGGAATAACGCACGGATGTATCATGTTTAAACTGATATGATAATACACTTGAATGTACTCCGACGAGATCCGTGTTATTCGTCGGTGGCTCGTCATTGGAAGTCGGATAAAAAGGCCGACAGAGCGATCCGCGACGATTCGCGAGAGTTTTCCGCGCGAGAATTCCCGCTCCTCGCGGCGCAGTGGTTGATTAATACCCTTTTTCTGCTCCTCCCGCGACAGACGTTCGAGGCAAGCAAAGGTATGATGAAACGTGAAAGCGGTAGCCGCCGGTAACCGACTCTTTTAGGGCTTCGGCGGATGGCGCGCGGCGTTCGTTCGTTGTTGCATCTGAACAATGAGTTACGCAACGCGCCGCGTTGGAATACACACGGCCGCCTTCCTCTCTCTTTCTCTCTCTCCGCCGCTCCCCTTCCTCTCATTTTACGGGCAGGCAGGCGTAGGCAGGCGCGTTCAAACCGATATTACACGGTATTACGCGGTACGCTCGCTCGTTCGCTTGCGCGTTGCATTAGGCAGGAAACGCGAAGAGGAGTCGTTATATCGCGTCGACCCGCTTCAGGCGCACCCTGAGGAACGCCCGAACGCCCGCCGGCAACGGAGAGAAGCGGAACGCGCTCCTGAAAATGTCAGACATCGAGCGAAGCGGCGAATGCAATACACACATCGTCTCTCTCTCTCTCTCTCTCGCGTCGCGCCGATGGGTACGATATTCCACGTGGAGCCGCTTCCAACGTGATAGGCTCTCTCGTGCTCCAGACGAAAACGGTATTCGATAAAGCGGAACGAAGCATCGGTATCGAGATGCAATCGAGACTCTCTCTCGCGGTGTTTCGGTACCATAATACCGCCGAGACCGTAGACTTTGAGCATAACGGATACTCGACGCTATAAGGTACTCTTTCCTACGAGCCCCCGATATCGTTGATTTTTGTTTCGGCGTGTACCTGCGATCTCACGGATTTACTTTGTAGTCTGCGGCAGTAGGAGATCTCTTCGGCTACCTAAGGATTTTCTCCGGTTTTACGTATCGTCTCTCGTAGTGTCGTGCGAATTCTCTCGTCAGTCGACTTTCGCTTCTACTGAATTTGATTGCCTTTCCTTCTCCCCCTTCTCTCTATCTTATTGAAATTATTGCTTAAATTATTGAATATTAAGAAAAAAATTAATATTTTTTATGAATCAATACTCTTAGTATACTCTTTTAGAATTAATATTCTAAACTAAAGGAGATGGGTCGATAAGGCTGTTTTCATGCCCCCTCTCGATTTCCATTAAATAATTTTTTTTTGTATTATATGATTATTAGAAAAATCACCAAAAATAATCATTAGATGAGGAAAAACTCGATCCATAATTAATTATAAATCTAAATATGTCATTATGATACTTAAGCTTTTTTTAAGATTAATAAGTGAACTAACTGAATTAAATATTTTCGTTTATTATATTGCTCTGTCATCATATTAATGTCAGTTTAAACCATAATATTTATCGTCTCCAAGGTGAAGATGAATACAGTTCGTGGTAAAAAGAATTATTTTTTATTATTTGATGTGTCCTACGTATTAATGAAATTTTAATAAACATGGTGTAGAGGTTAAGAGGTAGAGGTTAAGTTTGTAGGCAACTAATAGTGATCACCTATTTGTGGGTATCCATATGTCAAGAGTAATCAGAAAATTCATTTTTTCACCAAGTTGTATTTACTTTCAACTTGGGGACGATAGATATTGTGATTTAATCTGACATTAATATGATGGCAGAGGAATATAATGAACGAAAATATTTTATTAACCCTTAGTTGACACACGTCAAAATAATAACGTACGTGCTATAGGGGATATTTTGGACATATAATGTCTTCATTGGTATAACTCAATATATC